CAGGGAAGAGCTCTGATTGGCTGGCTTAGGTAATATGCCCATTTCTGGAGCCCAAGCATTTCGGCCAAGAGGCAGCCGACTGATCACATCCCCATCAGACTCACCTGTGGTGGGTAGAGGGGGAGGGAGCAGTTCCTCAAAGGACGGCTGTGTGTCTTATACTGGGAAAGGTGGGCAGAAGATCCTGGGAAAATCAAACAAAAGGAAGGCACAGCACTAATTTGTTAAACCTCCACAATGCCACCTGCCTCTTATTATTATTTTAATATATCTGAGAGTGTATCTCAACTTGGTACAGAAACAAGAGAGTGCGCTCCCACGCCAGCCTCACCAGCTGAAGGTGCAGGTGCGTGTCCTTGGAAGCCATGATGAGTGAGAGTAAAGCCAGAAGGCCAGGGCTTTGCATAGAGAGGTTCCTGGTAAGGCTGCAATCCCGCAGCCATCCCACAGGGCCTGGGAGTTCAAACAGAAGGACACTTGTTTTTATATGAAAGCTGTGCATTTGGAGGAACTAGGAAAGCCTCAATGGGCGAGATTGCCAATTACACCTAGAATTCTCTTTCTTTGTTGGACAGCTTCAAAGAGTTTTAAGTGCTTATATCATTAACAGGAAATGAAATGAAAGGTTGCATGCATTGATAAGCTTGATCTAGATAAAACGAAATAGATTTTTTTAAAAAAAAGATTCAGAAAAGCCTGAGGTGTAACCCGAGGCTGCCAAGCTATAAGCTCCCTTGTGCTCTCAGTTGAAGAAACAACACGTTCTCAGACTTGTAGATATCGGGGTGTAGGGATGTCTATGACTTGGGCCGTGAGAAAAGAAAACTTGTCGTAGACAGTGAGAGTGGCTGACCACAGAGGGAGCCTTGCAGCATCTGTCTCTGGAGCCCCATGTGGCATTTGCTGGGCCAGTTTGAGAATGGTTCTTTACCTCCTGACTTTATTTTTCGTGGAACCACTTTTTTCCTCACTGTTTCACCACTTGGACTCGGGCAGGGAGCATCCAGCAGTCTAAGCCTCTCACTAATTGCTGTTTTTAGCTGGTATGATCTCTTCCTGATGGATTCTGTGGGTTCAGCTAAGGCTTTTGACTGTTGGCAACGGGATTATTCAAAGCCTTAATTAAGTGCCTGCCTGTCCGCGGGGCCGTGTGCCAGTTGCTGACACAGACACAAGCCCCTGAGCTTGGTCATGCCCTGCCCATGGCTCACCCTTCACTCTTCACCCTCAAAATATACCCATGATGTAAGATTTATGGACATTCTTGGTGGTCTAATTTGTTTGGGGGTGTTAAGATTTTAATTCTCCTTTCTGTGCATGGTGTCTGTTTATTATCTGGGTGAGCTTATACTTGGAGGATTCCTCTTCAACTAATTTCTCAGCACTGTTGGTTTATGTCCTATTATTTTTCAGTTTTAAAATCACCGGCCTTGTTCTAGTCATTTATCATAGGAGAATTTATCTGCTATTGAAGAAGCTGCCATGAAACGGGGCAAGAAGTTTAGAGTAATGCACCACAGTCAGGCAGGCAGTTATGAGCATGTAGACGGTCATGTTGCAGAATCAGCTTGGTCCAGCTTGGGTGACATGTCCATCTGACAGCCTTCCTTAATGTCCTCTCCTCCAAGCTCAGCCTCTCCCAGCATTGATTCAATTATTCAGCAAGCTTCAAATAAATACTTATTGACAACCCCTCAAGTCTGTTGTTCCCAGCCCTATGATTTCTCAGCTCACTGCTCACATCTCCTTTGTGTGTCTTCCTGACTCCCAGCGTCCTGCTGGGCCATCTGCTTTCACCCTGGCCTCGGAGCAATCCCGGTTTCTCTCCTTTTGGTCTCCCTCCATCCCTGATGTCGGCAGAGCCTCTGATGCAACTCCTGCCCAGGCCTGGCTGATCAGTGGGCCACCGCGGCTCTGCACGGCAGCTGTGGGCTTGTGGTGTGCATACAAGGACAGGCCTGCCTAGGAACAAAACGTTTGCAGGAATCATCAAAAACAGCAAAATCGCCCCCTTTTTACCTCTCCCTGAGTTAAGAAGGCAAATGTGTTGCTCTGAGTCTTGCAGGGATTGTGGCGACAGAGAACCTGCCGCTGCTCTGGGCTCGGCCTCTGGTAGCCTGTCCTGGGCACCTTGGAATCGACTGAAAGCCCTTCACACACATGAATGAAAGATCAAGAGACTTAGTGCCCTTAAGAATGTCTCACTTTCAGTCCTTAAGGAAATCTCAAGATGGCACCAGGTTCTGAAAAACTGTCTCGAGTAAGACAGATAGGTGTAACGCAGCAGCTGGGCCCGCCTGCAGCCCAGCCTTCTCCTCATCGTCCAACACATGCAGAAGGAGCCCCCATTCCTTTTAAAGGCCTTTGGAGGTCATAAAGGTTTTTGAGGACATTTTAGGGAGCTGGAGCACAGCTTTACTATTTTAAATTATTATGGGGGTTATGGTTACTATCTTTATTTTTATGACAGGTTGTTGGTTATGCCCTGATTTATTTGATCCCGGGCTTTTGTTCAAGAACACAACTTCCAACTAAATGTGGTTACTGTGGCAAAAATATGATTCTCCTTAGAATGACCCTCTTTGGGGCCGTTTCCAAAAACTCATTATGGTGAAAAGTCAGGGCTATTCACATTCATGAGGGTTTCTCCTTGTGGTCACTTGGTTTTCCCACATGGAGGATTAGAAGGCACTAAGACTGCGGGTTGGACCCAGAGCAGACTGGAAGGAGAGGAAGGAATCTTCCCCCAGAAGCTAAGTGGGTCACTATTTAGAGCCATACTACTTCAGAGATGGAAGCGACCCTAGTTATCGAGAGCTGTTTTCTCTTCAATAAAAGGAAGGAATTACAACCTCAAGGGGCTGGGAAACCAAGCCAGGCCCAGCACCCAGGTCCTGGCTTCCATGTTGTCCTCTCTGTACCACACTGACTGTCCTGGGGGTGTCTTGTGCATACACATGGCACCAATACTGTCTATCTTAGACTGTTCAGATATTGCAACAGAAATACCATAGACTGGGTGGCATAAACAACAGAAATTTATTTCTCACAGTTCTAGTGGCTGGGAAGTCCAAAATCAGGGCATCAGCAGATTCAGTGTCTGCTGAGGTCCCACTTCCTAGTTCGCAGATGGCTGTCTTCTCCCTCTGCCCTCGTATGGTAGAAGGGCCAAGGGAGCTCTCTGGGGTCCCTTTTATAAGGGCACTAAGCCCGTTCATGAGGGCTCCACCCTCTGAAGGCCCCATCTGATACCTCCTCATACCATCACTTTGTGGCTGTCAACACATGAATTTTGGAGGGACACAAACATTCAGTCTATAGCACTGTCGTGCTGTTGCTCTGAGGGAACAACCCAAGACTTGCTTATGGCATGGCCATATCTTTTGTGAACCCTTTGACTTTTTCCCAAAGCAGGAAGCAGATATCACTTTAACTTATAAGAGATATAGGGTCTATTAGAGAGAGACACTTACCAGTGCTTTGGGTTCTACAGTATTTGTCTCACCAAAAACTTGAATTTACAGTGAGGCAAAGAGATAACCACTCAACTTGGAGACCAAAATTGTGGTCCCAGATCTGCCACTTAATCTGCCCTCTGAGATCACTGGCCATTCATCTACTTCTCCAGGCCTCTCTCCTCAGCTCTCTGGGCTTAGTAATGTGATTGGCTCTGTGTGCTGTCAGGGACACTGTTGGTGCCCCACCCAGACCCTTTCAGCAGGCCAGCACACCCATTCCCAGCTGCCATGAGTGTTGGCTAGGGGTTTGCAGGTAGGGTTCTCTGAATCCCTATCTCAGATTCTGCTTCTGGAGCACCCAACCCAAGACACCTCCCTCCTAGTGTTGCAAGAATCAGATAAGATTCTGTGTGTGGAGACCCTCTGAAAGCTGAAGTATCAATGGCTATTTACCATGGTCTTGGACCTGGCTGCAGAAGTCCCAATTGAGGCTTCTTGGCTGAAGGCCTGTGATGAAGGCACCTAAGGCACCCAGGGAGGGCAGGGCTATTGTCATGCATCCCAAGGATGTGAACCAAGGATTCTCTTCCTTCTCCCCAAGGAGCTCAGGATAGTGGGGAAGACAGTAAAAACGGGTTTCCTTGAAATTGAATAATTTTTAGGTAATATTAGGCAGTGGTTGAACAAGTTTTTCCCATATTGAGAGGGTAAGAATTGGAGCTGCAAGTCATTCAGACCTTGAAACTGAGTAAGGTCACAGAAATTCCTGCCTTTGCTTCAGATGCAAGGTGCTGTCAAAGTTCCATTGCAAATTGCAACTTTCTGTGAGGTGCCAGCTTCAGCATATTAAAAACCCCTGGATGTTTATTTTGACAGAGGTAAATTTGGAGGGAGTGGGTGGATGTATATATGTAGAGAATTAGAGGAAAATTGGAAGAGAAAGAGGGATCAAGGTTTGCAATGCTCAGTGTCCTAGTTAATCATTGGAGCCCCAGGGCCTGATGGGCCACTGCAGTTGGCACTGTGCGGGGGGCCAGAGAACTTGCTAATGGAATGCTAACGATGCCTTTGGTGCAGTTAATGATTATCTCCTCCCAGTTCCAGTGCTCTGCACTCCCTTCTCTGAAGCTGACAGAAGGCTGCCTGATCATCTTCTGGAGGTCAGGCACCCCCTGCCTAACAGGATGGAGGAGAAGATAATGATGATCTACAAATTCATTATATGACCACGCTCCCAAAGGGCTTCCTTCTGGAGGAAAGAGTTTGTTTCCTTAGTTATTTCCTGAAAATATGCTGTAACAGAGATGAATAACACTTGGACAGAGTAACTGTTGTCCGATGTTCCTTTGCATGAACCTTTCTGCCGAGATAGTGCCACAAATGGCGTGCTTTTATATGGGGACATGACATTGGTCACCCTCAAATATGCATATTTTTAATTCATATAGCGCTTTTATTTCTGTTGCTAGATTTAAGGACCTGAGGACCTCAACAAATTAATGAATGTTTGTGCTATACATGCATTATACAGAGACACTAATGTAAAAGGAATACAGTTTTTATTAAAATTTTTTTGTTTGTTTTACAAAGGCCAGGCATGTTGTCTGCAGAAATATCAGAAAATAATAGTTAAGTAAAAGGAAAAGAGGAGAGACCCAGAGACAACCACTGTCAACACTTTGTTTCATGTTATAATAGATGTGAGAGCTTATCTGTCCGAATGAATGTGGTCCCCTCCAACATGGGCAGCCTGTGAGAGGACTCATGTGCTTGCTGAGGCTGCAGTGGCTTCAGACAGTGTTGTCATGCTTGTGGGGAAAGTGACTTCAGAATATAAGCATTCTCTCACAGGGACTCAATCTCTATCGTGGGTAGAGTGTAGATTTTGATAGGAAAGGGATTTTTCTGTTTCCAGAAATTGCAAATAAGATGGAGAATATTGATTTGGGGTTTTGATTTGCTTTTGTTTCTTTTTCACTGAAGCTTGACTACAAAGGAGTGAGCTGGGGAGGCTGGCCTTGTGAGATTCCTAAGCCGGCACTGAGGGGGTGACGGTGGAATAACCTAAGAGGGGATTGTTCACTTTGGGGATTTTCTCTGTGATTCAAGGCTTCCTTCCCCAGGAAGACATCTGCATCCTGGCTACTGAGAAACAGGTCTAAGGACGAGTTGGGGGCTGGACACCTGGGAAGGGAGAGAGCACAGCCCAAGGACGACTACTGCTGCATTTACAGGGTTCTCTCTTCGCTTAGGATGCTTAGGGAATTAACTGTGTTTGGATGCCCAGGTGTGCATGCACATGCTGTTTTACCTCCTCCTTTCTCCCATGTGCTGTTATAGCATCCCCTCTGACCTTGCTGAGGGGTGTGAGGAGGATTATCGCTGTAGGTCATTGAAGGCTTTCTTTGTAAATGCAATCTGGGGTCAGCCAGCAAATTTTGGTGGCTTCATCCTCTGTTGTCTCGGAGTAGATACATCGATAAAAGCAGTTGCTACCACCATTGTCTAACACAAACAGCTTCTTTCTCAGGAGGCTTCTGTGATGTCCTCTGTGCATTTTCCAGTGCTAAAATCCCCCAGTTCTGGGTCGCAGGCTGTGTATTGATGGGCCAGTGTGAGCCCTGCTCCTCCAAAGATGAGTCCGTTCTGAAGGGCCTGTTGAGTTTCAGGAGTTTGAGGGTCCTTGGGGAACTTCCTTTCTCTGAAATTCAAGGTGATTTCTTTGCTTGGAATTTCTCTCTCTCTGCATTTTCCCGTCTTTTGAGAAATATCTTCTGTCTGAACAAGTTGCTAGGAAGCTCAGATCTGTCAGGTACTTAGAAAAGTGCTTAACGCTTAGCACTCAACAGATGTTAGCTGCTACCTATTATTAGAGAAAGAGCTGTCTAGAGCTGCACTGCCTGATAAAAACATCAAGCCAGGCATGTAGATTGTTGTAACTTTTCTAGTAGCCACTTTAAAAACATAAAAAGAAACAAGTGAAATTAATTTTAACAATATATTTTATTTAACCCTACATGTCAAAATACTATCTTTTCACATGTAATCAGCATTTTAAAATTACCAAGGTATTTTATATTCTTTTTTTATATTAAGTCTTCAAAACCCAATGTATGATTTACACTTACAGTGCAACTCTATTAAGACTAGCCACATTTCAAGAGCTCTGTCGCCATGTTTGGCTAGTGGCTATCATACCGGGCAGCTCAGGTCTAGAACCTTGCTACTCAAGGGGAATTCTAGGGACCAGCAGCATCAGCATCATCTGAGAGGTGGTCTGAACTGCAGAATCTCAGGCCCCACCCCAGACCTACAGAAGCAGAATCTGCATTTTAACAGGTGATTCATTTGCATGTTAGAGTGGGAAGCACTGGTCTAAAATTCCCATACTCAGTCCCCATCCCTGATTTAATTGGTCCAAGGTAAGGCCCAGGCATTAGTATTTTTTTAAAGCTCCGCCTGGTGATGCTAATATGCAACCAGCCTTGAAAGTCACATGTGTAGTGGGTGCTGGAGCCAGGATGCCCGACTCTGCCACTTTCTACCTTCCAGACTTCAGGAAATCTACCAAAACTCTCTGTGCCTCAATTTCCTCATCTCTAAAACGGAAATGATGTGTATCTGCTTCAAGGGATGTTAGGAGGATTAAATGAGTTAACACACGTGAAACACTCAGAACAATACCTCGCACATAGGAAGTACTCCTTAAATATAAGCTCTCACCCTTTCTTCTTTTCCTTGAAGGTCCGGGGCTACCCAGAGCCCCAAGTGACGTGGCACAGAAACGGGCAACCCCTCACCAGTGAGGGCCGCTTCCTGCTGGATTGTGGTATCCGGGGGACTTTCAGCCTTGTGATTCATGCTGTCTGTGAGGAGGACAAGGGAAAGTATACCTGTGAAGCCACCAATGGTAGTGGTGCCCGCCAGGTGACAGTGGAGTTGACGGTAGAAGGTGAGTCCCAGGAGGTGAGAGCCCTGGTGGGAGATGAGCCCTCAGTTTCCCCAGGGCCTGCAGCTCCTGCTCCAGCCCTCTCTTGGGAGAGGAGCTCACAAGAGAAAGCACACCATCCCTGAACTCCAGACCTTTTCATCTAACGGGAGAGATGTGGTCCTTGCAAAAAAGGAAGGCATCCCAGGAGAAAATGTTTGTCAAACTGCACATCACCTTCTTTCCTGCTCCAGCTTCCCATGGCTTCCCCTCACCAAGACGGAGACCAGACGCCTTATCATGGCTTTACAAAGTCCTGCCTGGTCAGACCCCTGCCTGGCTCTCCAGACCTGTCTCCTACCACTCCTCACCTGCTCGCTCCACTGAGGTCACACTGGCCCTCTGCTCCTCTTGGAGCAAATTCTCAGGGCCCTCATCTTGCTGTTCCCTGTCTAAAGGAAGAGCTCTTTCTGCAGCCCCTTACCTGACTTGGCCCCTCCCTTCCTTCAGGTTTCTGCTTAGACGTGCACTCCTTAGAGAACCCTTTCCGAGCACCCATCCTCATGACTCTGCATCCTCTCACTCCACCCCAATTTTTCCTTTGAGGACTCATCACTGCCTCACATTTCATTATCTCCTCCTTCCCCCACCTCTAAGTGGAAGCTCGAGGAGGAGAGGGACTTGGTCATGTTTATTCCCGCATCTCCAGCATCTAGAAAACTTCCTGGCACCTGATAGATACTGAAGTATTTGGAGAATGAATGAATTTGGAGAGTGTTTATCATCATCAGTATAAAGTAATACATGCCCATTAGAAATAATTTTGTAAAATTCAGAAAAATATATAGGAGACAAACACAGCAATGTGTTAACAATGATTAGTTATTTTGTCTTTTTTTTTTTTGTACTTAAAAAAATTCTATTAACTTTATTAACTTTAAAACTTCCAGGAGAAATATTTTACCATAAGTAAACTGTTTCTTTTGCTGCTAGTGTATCCCCCATATGCTGAAGCTGTTCCACTGTTGAGAACATCTCTAGTTCAGGCTGCTGGCTGCTGGCTAAAGGCCTGATGTCTGAAGGGACATGGGGGTTTATCAGACCCTCAGATGTGTAACAAGTTTCCCTTGGCCTTCCAGTGGAGGGGAAGAGCCCTTCCCTTTCTAAGGGCTTATAAACCAGGGGGCCAGACTCACTTTCTCCTATCTCAGAAGAGAGTCCTCCCAACCTGGTTTTCAGGGGACACTGTGTGTAAGGATTAAAGTAGCCAAGGAAGGTTCTGGAAAGGGACGAGGTGCACCTGGACCAATGTTTTCCTTGTTTCCTTACATCACGGAAGACAGACAGGCTGTTTCACAAAACAGAATATGCATAGTTTAGATACTTTCCCCCAAATTCCTTAAATGAGTGACTCACTCATTTTAATAACTTTCAAGTGCCTGTGGGCTGGGACACTCAAGACAGAATGTGGCCCCTGGTCAGAGTCTCTGGATGGCCCTCGTCACTGCCAGTTCTGGTACTGTGCTTTTTTTCTACATTATGTACTTTTCAGTGCCAAACTTTGAGTTGAGGCCCACAAATAAAAATTATTTTATCCCCTTGTATTAGTCAGCTCAGGCAGCCGTGACTGAATACCACAGACTGGGCGCCTTAAACAACAGACATTTATGTTCTCACAGTTCTGGAGGCTGGAAGTCCAAGATCAAGGTTCGGCAGGGTTTGTTTTCTGGTGAGGGCTCTCTTCCTGGCTTGCAGATCCCCACCTTTTCGTTGTGTCCTCACATGGTGGAGAGAAAGAGCTCTGGTGTCTCTTCCTCTCCTTATAAGGGCACTGCTCTATGGGATTAGGGCCCCACCCTTATGGCCTCATTCAACCTTTATCACCTCTTCACAGGCCCTGTCTCCAGATATAGCCACACTGGGGGTTAGGGCTTCAACATATGAATTTGGGTGGGGACACAAAAATTCAGTCTATAACGCCTCTTTTCTGATTTTCTGTTTAGAGCTGGGGAAATGGGGAATTATGAATCAGAGGTCCAAGGTTTTGTCCCAGTTTTCACCATTCACATCTGTGATTTTAAACCTCTGGACCTCTGTTTCTGCAGAATACAGGGTTTGAATTCAGTGCTCTCCACAGCCTGGGCTGGCCCTGGTTTTCTATGATCCATTGTAAAGGATGGAGTAGGAGTGCGAGGGAGGCATATAAAACCCAGGTAATAGGAAGCCTTTTTTTTTTTATTCCCATCGTTAGGGAAGTTAGATCTGACGTCTCAACTAAGCAGGAAAGATTTTAGTAGGTCATGGTACTCGGGGTGGGGGCAGGAAACAAGGCAGGAGAGCTACAGCAGAGTGATGCTTCTGCTTCAAAGGCTAGTTTCAGCCGATGTGTGATTTGGGACCGTAGGCCTGGAAGGATCCAGGCTGGTCCCTTCTGCCATGGGTAAGTTGTTTACTGTGCCAGACCAGCCCAACATCTTATAAAGAGAATTTAGCAGCCTACCTGCCTTCTTGCCCACCCTCTGTGCTGTGCTTCTTACTTGGAAAGCGCAGAGGTTCTGGAATTGAGTGTAATTCATATGTGGAGCCTTTTGACCCCCTAGTGGTCAACTTGAGAAGGCAGTGTTGTCAAATGATCTTGGATTTCCACTTCACTGATCTTCAGCTATGAGGAAATTAACCTTGCAGAGCCTTGTTTCCTTTTCTACAAACTGGAGCCAATGGCTGCCCCTTGGGGTTGTGTAAGGATCAGTGCAGTACTGGCATAGAGTAGGCTCCCAGTAAATGGTAGCCTTGTAATGTCTGAACCTGGGATTCTCATCCTGAGAACCACTTCCAGGGGGAAATCCTTGCATGGAGAGTGGAGGAGAAAGCTTCCTTATCTGATTTCCAATTTGGATAACCAGGGTCAAGAAATATGCAGTATCCTCCATGAGCACAAGCGTCCCAGCGACAGGACAATTCATGACCTTATGCAGCGGGATGCAACCCTCGTCTGAACCCTGGAAAAACTCTCTGTAGCCAGCTGGACACTCCCCCACCTCCAGAGGGCTGGTCGCAAGGCTTGGTGCAGAGCAGGGAAGAGACATGGTGCCCGCCCTCCGGGGGCATTCTCTCCAATGGAGGGGCCACAGGCCTGGTCTCTAGCACAGCACTGTCCATAGAAATATAATGTGAGCCACATGTGTAATCTTAAGACTTCTAGCAGCCACATTAAAAAAACAGTGAAATCAATTTTAATAAAATATTTTACTTAACGCAATATATCCAAGATACTATCATTTCAACATATATCATCAGTATAAAAGTTATTAATGAGATATTTTACATTCTTCAACATTTGGGATGTATTTTACACTTACAGTGCATCTCAATTCAGACTAGCCACATTTCAAGAGCTCAGTAACCACATGTGGCTATTGCCTACCATATTGGACAACACAGCTCTAGAAGCTCCCGTTTGAATAGGGATAAACAAGGCTAACACAGAAAAGAGAAGAGAACCCACGTGTGAACAAGATGGTGACTAGTCCTGAGCCACCACTACCACAGAATGAGCCTGGGGGATGGGGCAGAGTGAGGGGTGGGACTGAAATGACAGATGTGCCCCAGGCCTGGTGGTCCGAGTCTGAGAAGGCCTGTTGTGTTTCAGGGACCAGAGAGTCATTTCAGTCATTTCAAGTAATGGAGGGTTAATTTTAAGGACCTGAGCTCAGGAGCCCAGGGAAAGTAAACTGGCAGGCCCAGAGGAGATCCCAGCCTCAGGATGCTCATACTCACCTTATGGGATTTTAGTGCAAATGGTGGAAGGGCATGTGAATCACCTGGGGAATCCTGCTAAGATGTGGATTCTGGTTCTGTGCGTCTGGAGTGGGGCCCGAGGGTCTCCAGTTCTAACCAGCCCCCAGGTGATGCTCAGGCTGCTGGTCCACAGAGCACGGAGCACAGTGTGAGTACAGGCTTGATAAATTTGGCCTAGGACAGTGATTCTCAGAGCAGGCTTCACAATCACTTGGAGGTATAAGTGCTTATACCTGCAGTGTTAGAGTCTCAGAGAAACAGAACAATAGATTGTACATAGAGAGAGAGAATTCATTATAAGGAATTGGCTCATGTGATTATGGAAGCTGACAGGTCCCAAGATCTGCAGTCAGCAAGCTGGAGACCCAGGAGAGCTGGTGGTTTAGTCCCAGCCCAAGACTGAAGGCCTGACAACCGGGAGAGCCGATGGTGTGGTTTCAGTCCAGAAGCTGGCAGGCTCAAGACCCAGGAAGAGTTGGTGTTTCAGTTTGAGTCAAAGGCAGGGAAAAAACCAATGTCGCAGCTCAAAGGGAGTCAGGCAGGAGGAATTCCCCCTTATTTGGGGGAGGGTCAGCCTTTTCGTTTTATTCAGGTCTTCAACTGATTGGATGAGGCCCACCCACATTAGGGAGGGCAACCTGGTTTACTGAGTCTGTTGATTTAAATGTTAATCTCATCCAGAGACACCCTGACAGAAACACCCAGCATAATCTTGACCAAACATCTATGCACCTCGTGGCTCAGTCAAATTGACACATAAAATTAATATTATACCTACTAAATACTTGATTGTAATATTCCTGAATTACTTCATGGAATCTGATTGACACATTTCTTCTTTTTAAGCCATCTACAAGGAATATCAACTAAGTAACACAGAGATGCTGTAAGAGGTAGCAGTGGGTACGTGATATGGACTGGAAAGGCAGAATCAGAACATCTGCACACAAGTTGTGAGAAAGCGGCCACAAAGCCAAAAAAAAGATGTGTAGAGAGCCTGGTATAATATAATCATAGCTCACTTGCATTCAGCCCTTACTCTGTGTTGCTGGCACAGAGTGTCAGTTGGTCTCTGTCAATTGGGGTTGGTCATCCTCAGGACAGGTGCCACCACTGGTCCAATCTTCAGCGGTACAGGGTGGGATAATGAGCATAAAACATGGCTGCCGGGTTTGCAGGCCCAGGGTCACAGCAGGTGTCATTAGGGTGACCATTTTTCCCAGTTT